GCACCCCCAGTCCCGCCTCCCCCCTTCATTTCCTTGTTTTGGAACCTAGTGGGCCGCGCCGCGGCTTCCTCGAGCTCATTAACGAACCAGCCTGCCCGCCCAGGGGCGCAGAGGCTCCTGGAAAATGTAGTCCCGAAGGCCTCACGAGCAGCAGTAAATCGGGGCACGAACGAAATACAACTCCCAGGTTACCGCGGGCCTCTACGGCCTCGCCCCCGTAAGGCATGCACGCCTGCGCACTTGGGCTGCCCTCCCCCTCAGGTAGCGCGGACTCCTCTTGGAAAGGTAGACAACGCAAAGTTACAGTGTGCTTTCTGAGATTCTCTGGGAGGTAGCGAGAAGAAGGCCCTTGTTCTAGCAGCAAAAGGACGTTGCACTGTAGCTGCCATAAGGCGAACAGGAGGGTGGAAAGCATGTAGTAAACCCCTGAGTCAGGAGTTTGCTCCAGCAGTTCCACAGGAGAGGACTGTGGTTAGAGCAGTTGTACTGCGGTTCGTTGTTTGTTTTCTAAGACAATTGGACCGCCTATTGCCCCGCCCCCACATGGCCTCTCATTGGCTGAGACTAGGCAATGACGTCCTCGTTGGTGCGTGGGTATCCCCAGGCTTTGGCTTCTTTCCCGCTCTTGATTGGTAATTGGATGTGCTCGGTTCTTCCTGATAGGTTAATCTTTCTTCTTTAGAATGCAGAAACCGTATTTCAAAACCTGAACGTACAGCGGTTTCTTGCATCGATCTGAAAGAACATGTAACTTCTGATTCCCAACAATGGATCATACTTTGCTTGGCGCTCTCGTTGGTTTTCTGCTAGCATATGCTGTTCCTGCAGACCAGCTTTGGCCATCTGTCTAAGAACAATTAAAGTGCCTGGAGGATGCAGCATTTTAAAAACAATCCTTTGGGTGGGGTTGTAAAGGATTTTTTACAATCTACGTATAATGATGAGATTGCCCTAGAATGTTTAAAAATTTTAAATTGTCCTCCTTTCATTCAGGGTGAATGTTGATTCATTATAAGGTCGAGGTTCAGAATGCCACCCCAAAATGACTGTAGGAATCCAAAATATGCCACTTTGGCATATTGATTACTTTGAACTAGAAGAAATTGAAAACCAGCCACACAGGAAAAGTGCTTCACTTCCCACTCTGCGGCCTAAAAGAAAGAATAAAACTCCCCTTTTGAGG